AAAGATCTTGAATGTAAATTGCTAAATATATATATATATATATATAAAATATATATATTTTATTGTATAAAACTTTGAGAAGATCCTTTTGCTCTGTAGTTTTGTACTGACTGTCTAAATGCAATAATTTTGTTCTTAAAACACTCGAGCATAAAAATCTTTGAAGAATGACTTCCAAAGAGCAGGGACTGCCAGTTACCCAACTCACAAATGTGATCTGCCTGTTATGTTTTTTCTATGCCAGTAGATTGCAGTCTTAAAATAAAACGTAACCACATCCTGTTTTGTTAGTCCATCACTTGGAAACAACAGTACTGTGTACAACCTCTCCTCATGTATGTAGCTTCAGGTGTTGGTCAAAAAGTGCTGAACCAATAACCTAATGGGAGGGGACTATATGTTGAGGGAAATAGTGTTGGTTATCCGGCCCTGGCATACCATTAGTTATACCCCATTTAGGTGGATGTCTTCAGAAACAGGACATCTGTAAGATACAGGAAAGTTGAATGCTGACTAAAGGGTTCAAATGTTAAATACTTACTTGCCAATTACCACATTCACATATAAACAAAACTTTGGCTATTTTTAACTAGAAAATCCATTTTCTGAAAGGATAAATGCACATCCTCTCTGAGTTCAGAGTGTGTGTGTGTACATACATGCACACACACATACCTGTAGCCCCTTGTGCAAGGTACTTAGGCATGAAATTTGTCTCAGTGAATAACGAGACAAATTTACCAAGATAAAATTATCTCCTGTAACAAGATAAAATTTACAAGACAAATTTTACTACAATAACAATAACAAAAGAATAACCATAAAATGAAAACTTACCACTACCCTCTGGGTCCCACTCACTCCAACCTCGTTGCTAAGATTGTGTTTACTCCCCTCCCTTTATGTAACAACTTGGTTCACAAAGAAAAAAAACCTCAAGAAATTACACTCAGTGAGAAATGATATGTGGGGTAACCTTCCACATTTTAACTATTTTTGCAACAGCCATTTCAATTTTGTTAACTTTTACCTCCATGTAGTCAAATACACAAATAGAAAAGACCCATTGTATGGTGTCTTGCTGACTTTACCGAGAATGTTGTATGCTGAGCAAGCAGAAGGAAGACATAAGCCCATATGCAATAGCTATACTTTAAGTACAGCAGAGTGAAACAGCTGGGGAAAAATCAGAGCCAGTAGGCAACAGGAGATATAAGATAATGACCCCACACACACGCGCGCGCACATTTTGGTAGCAGGAAAGCACTGTCCGAGCCTTAGAACAGCAGCAGACTCTCAATGGGTTGTGTTTGTGACTTGGCTTTGCACTGGACTTGTTCTTCTTGTATCATGAAATGTTTACTATGAATTGGGCATTGCATTTTGAACATAAATCCCAACCTGGAGTAACTCCAACTTGATTATTAAGCAAAACCTGCTGAAATGAAACAGACACGTCTATAAAAGATCACTGCTTCAGCTTCTGAATTGTGGGGTATATCCTTTGGGAACACAATTTCTTGCTCACCAGTCTCACAGAGCAGGCGGCCAGCATTCCGCATACTTTCAATAATTTGCGTCTTTCTGCTACTACCCTGTGTCCAACTATGTTATTCTCATATTTATGATTTCAAACTGTCATACCCCTTTCAAGTTTAGCTTTTCTTGAGAGAGAGTCGCTTTAGGAAGAGAGCGACTGGCATCACAAAAAGTGGGGGGGGAAACAATCCACACACCATAGCATAAAAATACTGAGGGAAGAGCCTAGATAGAACAACACATTTTTTTTTTTACCAGTTTTTTGAGAGATCAATACAAGCAGAAGGAATCAGATAATTCTTTGTAAGTATGTGCTCAAGGGAAGAGATGTGATGTTCCAGGAGAGTGACTGATTCACAAAAGATTCAGATTACTTCAACAAGACATTCAGTCCAGAGGGATAAAACAAGGTTTTCTTTCTCTGCATCGGAACTGAGACGCAGTTCCTTCACACAGACAGTAGCACTTGTCCAAATTTGCTTCAATGCATCCATGTGAGATAAAGGAAAACGTAATCCATGGGTCTAAAAAAATTAAAAAAACTGCTCAAGTACAAGTTACACCATTACTCCTATGATATGGTGAGTTTAATACACAGCTCGCTGCTTAGCTGTACCACCCCCACTTGCCCTTGTACTATTTCACTGGGGCAAACTGCAGCATAGTGGCAATGAAATTATTCAGGTCATCCATGTTTCCTGGTTTATTCTGCTGCCTTCCTTAAAACAACTCTGTGAAGGCCACAACCTGTGTCCTGCCCTGATGTCACATCCCTGGAGCTTATTCCATTGCCCACGGCTGTATCTATGCTCATAGATAACTTGACATCCCTTTTCCCCTCCTTATTAGAAACTGACTTTTCCTCTAGGAACTGTACACAGCCAACACCCTTCACAGACTTTATGTCATCCAGCAGTTCCACCCCATCACTTCCCCTGAAGCGGAGATGGTTGAGAAATCACTGCAGCATCCCAGCTTGACTAGGATACAGCAGGTATTTACTTGCTACCCTGCTCTGCTCTAAGAACCCCCCTGCAGTAGAGAGGGGCTTGCTGTGAAACTACACAGTGTATCATCTTGCTTGAAGCCATGCTAAGCCAAGAGAGTATGAGCACCACAAGGAACAATGGAAAGGCAGTGAGGCACCAAGCAAACCATCCTCCTCTGCTTTTATTACATTAACAGCAGACAAAGTAGCTCCTCCAGATGACACAAAGCTTCAGTTATATTATTTGCATACAAAAGCATACAGCAAAGAAGTGCCAGGCAAACACAAGATGTTCTAATGCATCCTAGAGACACTACCACTGCATGTAGAAGAATTTCCTGGCCCTAGAAGAAGGGAAAGCTAGCTGCACACCCCCTCTTGAATAAATGAGGAAGGAAAGGCTACTTTCATCTTTGCCACAAGTGCTTGACAGAAGCCTGCTAAAAACCACATTGATGGCACACAACAATTCCATCCCACACAGAACTGACATGGAATTCCCCATGCTGAGGTGCGACTGAACCAGAACATCACGTTGTCTTCTTTTACTAGCTCTTACAGAATATGAACAGTCTTAAAAAAAAGAAAACCATCTAATCCAAAGGAGTTGCCCAAAGGAGACTTGTACAGGAACAACTATGGCTGGGTTTGCATCTGCAAACAGACTTGTGACACACTCCCACTTCACTCTGGGAGGGGCTGACTACAACCCTAATGGTAGGCATTTTACAACAGGGGTGCTTAACCTCTGGACCATGGGGCTCCCCACAGGTTCAGAAATTTGACAACAGGGGAGCAGTGGCAGCATTAATTGCCACTCCCCTGCTGCCAAATTTCTAGACCCATAAGGAGCTGTGCAGGCTGGATGATGTGTTCTAGATTGCAGACACACGTGGTCTGGCCACAGCACTACACTCACTTGGATGCACAGACAGAATTGGCATGCTAGATCACACCCACCAACTGACCCCACACACGATGCTGTCCACAAGGTGGACTGTGTACCATTCATCCAACCCACAAGGCCATAAGATTGGGTGCCACAGGTTTGAAAGGTTTTGGGGATTGAATGAAATAGTGAAATCATCAGCAGAGACATCCTCTTGTTCAGGGACTGTGTCTGCAAGTGGAGGCAGAATGCCTCACTTCTCACTTCCCCACCCAGCAACAAGATATATAGATGAGGAACTTATGAAAGCAAATAAAGTCCTCCCATCCTCCAGTAAGTCTGCCAAGAGATAGAAGCAAGACTGAAAGATTGAATTTCCTGTGATGCAGTGGCACAGACAGCTTTCTCATATATCCAGAGCTTGGCATGAAGCATTTGCAGCATGGACACAGCAATAGCACAGGGGAGGGACACTACTTAGAGCAAAATCTCCTAAATGAATAAGACTTGAAAGGCCAGCAGAGCTGAGATGCTTGTACTAGAGAGAAAGGAAACAAACCTCTGCTCCATCTTCACTAGCATCTTCCTCCTCGTTCCCCATCATGTGCATTTCTCTGCTGTTCTTTAGGGAGTGATAGACATAAATCATCTCTTTGCGACACTCATCCTAAGAGACAGCAGGAAGAAAAGAGTCCATTACACGTGTGCTCAAAAGCCATTAACTGGCGACAGCTGCCTCCTGACTTAAGCAGCTTGTTCAATGCTACCCCAAGGAACATTCAACACACTCCCTTCCTCCCCAGGCTATGAATGCTGTTCCTTGAAAAATGACTCTCAGACTTCCAGCTGTCAGCCCACAATACTGACATGAGCTGGGCTGGCAGGCAGCTTGTCTTGCCATGACTGTGCACATACAACAAAGAGGGCCCTGCTTAATCCAGCCTCTGTAGTAGATCTATCACTGGGCTGAAACTGTATTGTGGAAATCAAGTGATTTAGTAAACATACAATTTTTCCAAAGTGCACATTAAGCAGAGTCCTCACAGTTCAGAAAAAATTTTCATTAGAAGCCAAACCTGATCTGAATCAGACTCCAACCAGTCCTAGACTAGAAATAAAAAAAGTAAGAATTACTGGCTCTCAAATCTGCAAGTTCTGAATGTCAGTTTAGCAACAGGGAGACATACAGCTGCCCCAACTCATCAGCAGAAGCCCTCTGATCCAGTACAGTCCAGCAATGCAAGCAAGCTTGGCTTTGCTGCACCTACACTGTAAATAGCAGACTAGTTTCCAGGTGCACAAATTAAGATCCTTTCTCCACTAAATACTAGAGGCCTCCTAAATTCTATACCAACAGGTCTTGCCTTGTGTCAGGTTTACTCAACAAACACCAAGATGCCATGAAGAATTAAACAGGAGCACCATGGCAGGGCCAAGCTGAGAAACAAAAAGCTAAGTCTGTTTCATAACACAGGTTAAAGCAGCGGCATGGAAGTGAACAGAGTTGTACCTGTTACATACTGTCTTTGACTAGACTGTCAAAAGGAAATCCCATCTGTGCTCTTGAAAAGAATGCATCCATTCTGGAAGCAAACCTCCTTTGCTGACCAGTAGCAGGATGCATCAGGATATACAAGTGATATCTAGGGAGGCCCTAAAACAAGCAGCTCATCTCCCATAAAACCCCAGCGTGTGGGAAACAAGACTGTGGAGTAATTCTAGTGATAAATTTCTCTCAAAAGTAAAAAATAAAACCCCCCATTGACTCTAGTGTGCAAATGTAGTATCATTCTGTGACCTGGTTTCATGACAGATCCCAGCTGGACACTGGGAACCAGAGTGTCAGATCAAGTCCAGCACAGCAAAGCCTCAAAAATCAGAGCAGCAGTCCTCCAAAGTGTATGCAAACAGTCTCACAATACTTACAGAATTCTCTTGATCTGGTTCCACTGTAATTATAGCATGATCTTTGAACTGCAGTCTGATTCTGCTATCTAATTTGGGTAGTTTTCCACCTAAAAGAAAAATACAAGCCTTCAAAAAGGAAGGAAATCAGCCACCTTTTGCATCCAGCTTTTTTCAGTT